AGCCCTGGAGAATGTTAAAAACCAAAACCTGTCCTGTGGGAGAAGGGAGATCTGTAACTTGAGAAATTGCTCAGTGGAGTTACTGACAGCTTAGCCATATCTTAGGGAAGATTAGAGCACTGAAGATTTAATGACAGATTACATTAATTTTCAGAATGTTTCAGTGTGCTCAGGAATTTAGATCCAATCTGTTCATGCACCTTGCATTGTCCTACAAGGCAAGTTCTGCCTGTATGTGAAAATTTGCGGTTTTAAGAACCAGATTGTACTAGGATGGAGTTTGCTAGAATAATTTTTAGTGCTGTTGAAATTAATGGAGTCTATGAGTTGTTTTGTGTTTGTGAGTTGTCAGATGTTTGTTCTTTGTAGAAAGTCAAGAGGATCTGTTAAAAATCCCAAGCCAGCAGGAGTAAAACAGATGCATGTTCCTTTTTTTAGCTTTCCAACATCACAATACTGGAATATCTCACTTGCAAAGTGCTACCCTAAAGTAGCCTCCAACAGCTTTATATTTCTTCCAGCTGCTATAGCAAATCCAGCTTCTAATGCTTTAACTTCAGCTTCAGTCAAAGGTTTGGTTGTTTCCCTGATGCAGAATGACAGTCCCTGTTCTGAAAATGTATTGATTAGATTTCCTGGGAGTTTTGTTTAACCAGCAACATTAGAAACCTTCAGTGTTAGTACTAAATGTCACAAAGGGAGGCATCTTGTTTTATCGATATCTTTCTGTAACATTATTGACTGTTCAGTTTGTACAACCAAAACCTGAGATTGGGAATAATTCTGCCTTCTGCTCCTCATATGTATTCCCATTATGATAAAGTTTGAGCATTCTTACTGTTGATGAGTTCTATTTACTTACATTAAACCAAATTAAATAGCAGCAAAATGTGTTATATGTCAAAAAAGCACTGGTGTTACAAAATTATACTTCTTCAAAACAGTGGGCTTCCTGAGCTGGACCTTCAACGTACCAGGTCTTTGGTCACTCCACTGTAGTGTTGTGAATCTTGGTGCTGCCAAACCACTTTCTGCTGGTGCTGTGTCTGGTCCAGAGCATTGCAGCATCACAACAGATCTTACAGGAACTGCGGAGTTCGGCGCAATATTACTGAAATTTACGTAGCAAAGCCACCCAACATGTCCAAGCTGTTCCTCTTGAGCTGAATTTTTAGCTTCTTGGCTGTTGTAATATTATTCTCTTCATAAGAGGAATACTTCAGAGCAAAATACCCCATCTTTTGCTTACCATATGTCTTTTAGAAATTGGTGTATTTCAGACTGTTAGTTGAAGTGTCTTTGATATCTTGGGCATTTAAGGGGGTTGCAATATTGAATGCTAAGTTTCATGGATGATAGTTCAGAAATCTTTGCTTGAAAAACCTATTAATTTACCAAAACTAGGTTGTGAAACTCACCTCAAGTTAGCACATAGACTGAAGAGGTCAGTGCATTACGGAGAAGGGTGTTTGTCAGGTATTCAGATTTGTTATAACAGATAGAAGTCACCCCAAGCTTGGGTTTCATGGGGAACTAAGACACTTATGTTTCAGAACTGAACCCCCCTTTCATCTCTGGGTACACTTGGAAAGCCATGTGTGATTTCCCAGTGCTGTTAACCACAGTTTCCCTTGAAAGCACACAACATCTGGGCACTACAGGAGCCCTGCATTTGTGTGACTTTATTCAGTTGCAGCTTCACTGTGGTGTAGGCTTGGTCATGTGTGATATTGTGTAAAGACATACTGCATTTATGTTGTGGTACTGACTCACACTCAGAAGGTACTGGGTGATTTTAGGTATTGGGTTATCACATTTTCCATATTCTGCAAATGCAATTCTGCAGTTGGTAATACATGTAAGATCAGTTGTAAAAACAAGCAGTAGGAAAGGAGAAGAGATGAGTCAAGAGAAGAACAGAACAAGGGGCCAAAGAACCACTTCAAAATAAGTACTAGGGTTTTTTAAATTATTATCACTTAGCTTTTGTGTTCAAGGGTTAACAAACCACTATAACTTGTTCCCTTTTTCAACATTCTGTCTGACCTCCTAGATCTGCAAACACACACACAAAAAAATTATTTAAGTATCTAAAATGTAACTTCTTAATTTCTCTGTTAGATCCTTTAGGGATATCCTGTGGCTCAACCTTTTGTCTGAAGGTCAAGAGAGTTTTATTCATCTGACATAAGTAGCTTGAGTGTGGCATTTATAACCTGAGTAATGTTATGGATGATAACACCATTAGACATTTTTACAGCTTCAGCAGGAGTTCAGCCAGCAGGACTATCAGGCTGATAAATGCTTTCATCTTAAAGGTTGTATTGCTACAATAACCCTGAAACTTACAGCTGCTCCTTGAAACCTACAGCCTGGCTGAAGAGATGAAGTGTGCCCTATGATATTTCTAGGTTGCTAAAGAGCTCTCTCAAGTTCCAGTGCAAGAATTAATATGCTGACATGCAGCTGTTCTGAACTGGAAATTACTGAGGACTTCATAATTTTAAATTATTTGGGGGCAGTGTTACTCAAAAGAATTAGCTTTGGATTGAGATGAGACTGAACTGTTGAGTGATGAATACAAAGATTTTGTTCCTACCCAATTATAAAATGCTTCTGCGGGGTTTTAGGAGGCAGACTCTTGTACTGCTATTTTCAGAAACAACAGAGGCTCAGCTCCCCTCTCTGAGTATTTGCAGTTCCAGAACTTCTTGTAAACTAACTAGAAACTAATCCCTAGTAGACTGAGAGTGGTGTGAAAAGCTAGCAGTGACGACTGGTAGGATTTTGCCTTTGTAAAAGTTTGTTTTGTTGAGATCAGAGAGTGGCTGTTTTGAAAATGAATAGTGACAGTGGCCATGCACTGATCATGCATGTGAAAACAGTGGAAATAGTGAACAGTGTGAAAGGAGATGTGATGATACAAGTGGAAAAAGAATAGAATAAGGGATCACAAGGGAGGATAGTGTGAGATGAACAAAGGTTGAATGCTTGCTCTTACACCTAAGAATAGTATTTTGAGGCTTGTAGCAAACTTCAGTTGCTGTTTTAACCCAGCAACGATTTAACACAAAAATATTTTTAACCTGTAATGATTACAGTAAGGCAGCCAGATACAGATTTTTTTAAATATTTTTGATAATGGGAAACAACTCCATTGTTTTCCTTAAGATTTTGATGACTTTATGGGAGTTCTGTTAAATTGCCATTCTAGTTTACAACCTTCATTATGTTGATCATTAAAAGAACTCTAATTTTTTTTGTTTGTTTTGATTTGTGGTTGTTTGGGTTTTTTTGTGTTTTGGGGTTTTTTTGGTTTGGTGTTTTTTTTTTTTCTTTTTGTTGGTTTGGTTTGGGTTTTTTTGCTTTGGCATGTTTTTTGGGGTTTTTTACTAAGGCTTAAGGAACCACACTTCCTTTCTGAACTTTCAAAAGTGCAATAATGACAATTGCTTCCTAGGAGACTACTGTTGAATAAGTGTGATACAGTACACACATTGCTTGCTGCAAGTCTGACACAGCCTCTCAGTAGGAAGATAGAAAAGAAGACCTCTGACTGCAGAGGTCACTGGGGGTGATTGCAGGCTTTGAACAAGAAGTGTACATGGAGATCTTAAGTGGGCTGTGATTCTTCAGCTTGGGAAAGAGATGACCAGGCAATTACATAACAGAGGTCTGTCAATTTGTGACCAATGTTAAGAATGTAAGTAGGGAACAATTATTCGTGTTTCTTTCAGTGTAAAGAGCTAAAGGTTGCCAAATGAAATTATCAAATATCACAGAAGAGGAATTGTGGGGGTTTTTTTGTTGAAAGCTGCAGGAGTGTGGGGGGAGATGCTTGCTCAGTGCATCCTGTTCTTTTACTCTTCTCCAAACACTTGACCATTCTTAAGGGTAAGATCCAAGGCTAGGTGAATTTCTGACCTGGGCATTTAATTGTTAGAACCTTAAATTTACTGGAAATGGGTGGTTGACTGAAGAGCAAGTGTAAGGTTTGACCTTCCTTTGAGCTTCATTTTTAATGCTGGCTAGTTTTCAAGTTGATGGGTGCTTTTAAACTTGCTTTAAAGTGTATTTGCCTCATATAGAATTATGTGATGGCAGCAACAGCCTTGGCTAATCCATTTATTGCTTTAGGATTTATTAGTCCTTATTTCCTGATTTTTCTCTTAAAATTCATCAAATATGCAAGATCTTAACTTTCTTAAATCCTCAAGAAGAATTTATTAAAAAGGAAATTGCAGGTTCCAGTCAGTCTGACTTCAGTCTGTGATTGGCTATGGAGTTGTTTAAGGACAAGAAAAAACTTGGATTATCCATTTTCTGTTTGAAATGGTGGGCGGAAGCTCTTCTCATCTCTTCCTGGATGTGCAGCATGTTGCCTTATTACCTTCCCCTTGGCCTGTGTTAATCTCCTTCCAGCTGCCTGATCATACTGCTTTTGTCTCTTTTTTGGTTTTGGAAGGCATTCTCCCACTTTGTCTACGCATCAGCTGAATAACCTGTCCTTCTCTATTCAGCTTTCTATTTCTCATGAACCATTTGAAATCTCTGCTAGGACCTCACTTTGGTCAGCTGTGTCTTTTCTTTTGATATTGTTATGACTGATGCACACCTTTTCTGCCACCAGGTTTAGGAGTTTTTGTATTATCCAAGAATACTAAATAATCTGTGGTAGCCTTTCTGCCAGCTCACTTTAATTTTGGTAATAATCAAGTTCAAATGAAGTGTAATGTCTCATATTAAAGTGAATGAAATGCATCCACCATGAAACATTACTTGCTCACAGATTTTACAAACTTGCCTGTAGACTCTGCTGCTTTAACTTCATTCTTCACATTCATCTTTGATTGCAGGGTCCTATTCTGGCACCCTTTCACATCCATGACTGCTTTGCTTTCAGTTGGTTTCCAGGATGGCTGGTTAATGACAACATGCATTTGAAGGAGGGCCCCGTGGCTGGCATTTGTTGGGACTGAGGGTTGTTGTGTCATTTTTAGGTACTGTTTGGCACTGCTGATGGACAGGTTATTGTCATGGACTGCCACGGGCGCATGCTGGCCCACGTGCTCCTTCATGAGTCAGATGGCATCCTCAACATGTCCTGGAACTACCCCAGCTTCCTGGTGGAGGACAGCAGCGAGAGCGACACGGACTCGGACGACTATTCCCCACCACAGGGTAGGTCCTGTGCACATCCTTCTGCTGCAGCTTTGCACCTGCTCATGAAGGCATCCCAAATGCCAGGGCGATGTCACGCCCTACAAAACCAGCAGGGTGGCCACAGCTTCAAGCTCTCATGGAGCAGAGGGCTGGTATGGGAGAGTGGGTTTGTTCCAGCTCTGCCACCAGCCTTGCTGCAGGTCATGCCTCATCTGTGCTGCTCTGCCTCTGTTTGCACAAATGAAATAACGTCACAAAGCTCGATAAGTTTTCAGTAAGGCTGAGTGAAAAACAGTAGACATGGATATGTCAGGTTTCACTGATAAGCAGGCATGAGGTATTGCAGTGGTTGGTGTGTATGGAGGTACAGAGTGCAGCCACAGAAATTAATGCACTATTATATAGATTCATGTGAAAAGGCAGCAGTACTAGACATGGTGTGAAGTACTATATATTTAGTGTTATCTCTGTTTTGTAGGATTTCTGTAAAGCTCATCGTTACAGTCCCATCCTTCATAGTCCTGACATAAAGAGTTCCATAAATACTGCAGAAGGCTCAGAAATGAAGATATTTCCTGCAATGACATGGGGTAGAAGCAGGGTGACTGGAGTTGGCTGGAGTTATTAATTCACATGCTTCAGAGCACATTGCAGTTTGAGAGTCAGGAATAAATCCTTCTCTCTCCTTAAGTCTCAATACAACTTGTTTGGTGAAATATTTTGGTTTTAAAGTCTTTGGAAATCATCAGTAGCAGAGACTTACGAGGCTTAGGTGCTCATGCACAATCTGTCCCACCCTTCTCATTCAAGTAATGACAATACTTCCCACTGATGTGATTGATCACTTTATAAGCTCTAGGTGAGCTGTTCCTGTGTTTCAGTGTATAAAGCCTGAACTACATTAAGAACTAACTTTCTATAACACTCAGTGATTGTACAGTGAAAATTTTAAATATATAACAATTATTCAAAAATAATTCTGAATTTGGGTCTTGGATCTGAACCTCTGAATTGAGGACTTTTGCAGTTTTAACTCTAATTTGGATTCACACTAAAAAATCTACCTTTTCCACTATATAACAAGCTTATGTATTTAACATATATTGAAGGAAGATAATCTGATCACCTGGTAAAATGTTAGAATATTTTAAAACTGGATTTTGTTTTCGCTTTCATGCCTTACTTCTGGTAATGGGTAAGATTTCTTCCCTTAGAAGGAAAGAAACTAACTTCAACCTAGCAAGCTCCTAAAGCAAGACAGACAACAACAATAAATTGGATTTTTCCTGGGGTTTTGTTGTGTTTTTCAGAAATACTGAGGTTCCATTTGGAGGATGGTGAAATTGCAGATGAGAGCTTAAATGATCCAAATGTGTGTGTTAGCTTTTTCTGAGTCAGTCAGGGGGTGGGTGGACTCGTTACAAGCCTATTTTAATGATTACCCAAACATGATCTGTTTTCTTTAGAGCAGATGCAGCATAAACCTCTCAAAGGTGACAAGCCTTTGACTCACACAGATGTGTAGGAAGGACTAGAAGTTTGTTGGGATTTTCTTATTAAATTATATACACACAGAGGTGCCAGTTACTAGACATTCTTCTCCAAAATTCTTTCTCATCATCTTTTTTACAAGTTCAGGAAACAATACTACTCCTAACTGGTTCTGACATTTTTGTTGACTGGAAAGATGTTGGCTGGGCCTTGACAGGCACTTAATCAGGGACAAGTGGCATCTCCTCTCAGAAACTGTAAACAGGAGTTAAACACCAAAAGCTGCAGATGCCAATATAGGTCATGAAGTATTTGAGCAAAGGAATTTTAGTGAATTGCTGAAAAACAAGCTCAGAGGACCAGAGAATTTGCAAAAATGGTTTTTAAAGCCAAGTGCTCCATTTGGGCTCACCTCTGCTTTTGGGTGCATTGGATCCTGTTATGCAGAATGGCAGGTATCTTTTCATGCTGCTGCCTAGACATTTAGAATGCAGTAATTTGTGAAAGGTCAGTATGTTCTCTTTGAAGTTCTTAAAATGTCTCTGTGTGACCTCAGGAGGAGTCCCTGGTACCTGCCCAAGCAAAAAGGGTATAGAACAAATAGCTTTTAATGTCATTATATTGTTCATCATGCTGGTTTTCAACTGAGATTCTGAGGAAGTCTTCTAAGGCACTGGTTTTCCTTTTTTTTTTTTTGTCACTTTGGGGAGTTGAGAATGGAGAAAGACTGAAAAAACACCACAATGTAACATAATAGTATATGCATAAATCACTGTGGATATGGTGCAGTGAGAATTGACAAAGTAAAAGCACTGAGGTTTCACAGAAACAGAGAAGCTTAACTAGCTAAACCTGCTTTGCTTGTGCCCACAGATGTTGCAGAAATAAGCAGGTAGAGAGGCTTGGAACAACTCCTGATGGTGGTAGGCTGAAGTACAGTGTGTTTTGACCTGGATGTGATTATTTTTGGTTGCTCACCTTGTGCTCACTCAGAGCCTTGTTTTGCAGATGGACCAGCTGCCTATCCAGTCCCGGTGCAGAACACCAAGCCACTACTGACTGTCAGCTTCACGTCAGGAGACATCAGTTTAATGAACAATTACGATGACTTGTCTCCCACTATCATCCGCTCAGGGCTGAAAGGTACGAATAAGAAGCTGTTTCTCCCTCTCCCGTGCCCTATTTTTCTTGTATTTTTGATGATGTGTGCATAGGTTTCATTGTTGTGCCTCTTGCTCCTTAACCCAGGAGCCCTGAGCGCTGTTATTGCCGTTTCCAGCAGTGACACCTGCTGGAGGAAGAGCAGTTCTTGGCTGATGGAGTTTCTGTGTTTGAAAAAATGCTTCACAATATTTTTGAGATCGTGTTTTTGTGGCAGTTTTGTAGGGCAACTGATTTGCTCTGCAGTTTTCCAGCAGAGTGCATTAATATTATTACAGTTCTTTGTGTGAATGTCTCTGCTACGTAACACTTCCTTTGCATGTCTAATTCACAAGATCTTCCATGCTTTTGGTAACCTGTATAAATTGTAATTCTGCTTTGGTTCTCACAAATATTGAAAACTTGCTAGAATTATTAATTGTCAAGAGGCAAGTTGTTCTGAGAGAGAAAACATTCCAGTGATTATTACTATAAATTTTGCTAAGTGATCTGCACAAATGTTTGTACAATCTGTATTCCATGTAAAATCTTTAACTCACATTGAAATTTTTACTGTTCTTACCTATTAAAAATGTCCTTTACTTTGCCAGCACTCTCCATGCAATTTACTGTGCTTTGCCTGCAGAGACATTTTAATTCAATACAGCACATAGGCACATGCTTAAATATAGGTTCCACCGAAGCTTTTTCATCTCCACAGGTGAATTAGTTTTAAATTAGGTGAAAAGAGAATTAGGCTGTTGGAGCAGACTCTTAGCTGTTCTGAAATAGTGGGATGTTTTTGGTGAAAAGTTGCCCTTACACTGTCCCCACAGTTTTTTGGTGATCCATTATGTACAGTAGTCTTGGGAGGTAAAAACATCACCTGTAAGGTTTCTGTTCCATTCCTTTCTCCTGTGCCAGCCCCAGAAATGTGTGAGTGCCAAAATGCAGCATCATGAGACAACCCTACAATCCAGAAAACTTCATCAGTGAAAGGATACCAAAAGTGTGGAGAACTGGGGCCAACTTAAAAAAGCTCTTGTGATAATCACCAATGGGTCTGCTCAGCATTTCTACAATATTAATCAGGGTACAGAGCAGTCTTGAGTTGTCATCTAGTCTAGCTTTCAACTAGAAACAGTAGGAGAAACAGACCCCATCTTATTCTCTGTTTAGAGTTGCAGGTCTCTATCTTGCTGAGGATGTGTGTCCTGTTTCTCCTTCCCCACTGACTTTCACTGGTGCAAAAAAGATCCCTTAAATTTATTACCCACCTGTAGCAAAATATTAATGTGCTAGATTGGGTAGGAATATTTTTATTAGTTTTAAGCTTGACTACATTTTTGTCATCAATAGACAAAAAACATGCAGCATCTTACTGGATTGGGAATGTGTGTGAGACAGAGAAAGATGATTGGGATATTGTTGTTTTAAGCACTCTACAGTGGAAAGTATTTTATGTCTGGTTCTATGTAGATGTTCACACTTCCTGTAGCTTCATAATTTTTTTCAAGTGACTCTAAATTTTACTGGATTTTATCACAGGCAAGAATGTGCAAGGACTGCAAGTCCTTGTTCATGTGTTTGTGTTTAAAATCTCAAAGTATTGCTCTGTGATCTCTGCAGCAGATATCCTTGCCGTTGTTGGCCGCTGTAGGCTACTCATTGTATTTTTAAAATAGGCAACTATGAAATTATTTCAAGCAGTAGCAATATATTTTTAATATATAGAGAATATACATATTGTACTAGTTTTGCAAAGTTGTCATTTTACTGATAATATTTCTGTTAAATTGACAGAGGAGAAACCTTGATAATTTGATTACCCAAATAAAAGTTCTTTTGATCCAGCTTGAACAGTCCTGGTAGTTTTGCGAGTCCTGGTGGAGATCCTGAACTGTTCAAATGTATACTTTATTTTTTTGGTGCTTTTTAACTCTGATTCTCAGTGCACTGCTTCCTGCAGAACTGCCGAGCTACATCTATTAATTGTACTAGTTAGCCACAACTACTGCCTCTAGAGCTGTTGCACATTTACAGTGCTCTGTGTTCAAGGTTTGCTGATTTCCATGCCTGTGCTGGCTGGAAAGTAGGGGTTACTGACCCACTGATTCACTTGTAGACCATTACCCTAAATGAAACCTCCATTTGATTTTTAATCTCTGTGCTAGTGCTGAGAACCTGTTCACCAGTTATTTTGTGTAAAGGTCCAGTAGTCATTGAAGATCCTCCCGGCAGTGCCAAGTCTGTCAGTAGAGCCACAACGCCCTGGAGGGATGCTGCAGTCCACATGCACCCCCTTTGCTGCCTTTGCAGCAGTCTAATCTAGGACTTTGAGAGAGAGAGAGAGAAAACTGCTGGACATTCATCTTCCTCTTGTCATGGGAATCAGCTGAAAGTTTTACCTGAGGACATGTATCCAAAAGAGACGGTTTTTTCATTATGGTAGTTCCATAGTTATCCAGTTACCAAAAGTGGAGCTGATCAGCTTGCCTTGTTTATTTCTAACCTGCCTATTTTTTCCTGTCCAAGAAACATTAATTAAATCCCATTGTAGGTTACTTAGAGGACTGAAAACTAAGAGAAAACAAGAGGCATACAATGCCTAGCTGTGGAAAAATTACCTTGAGGAACATGCGGCTTCCCTCTGATATGTACAGAAGCATAATTCCCATGAGAAATATCAGAAGGTTGAAATAATACAAAACCATTTTAAATTACACATAAAAGTCCCTATAAATGACAAGTTGACAACTTGAAACAATTTTGAGATCCTTCCTGCCAACTCTCATTTCTCTCTTGCTTCTTCATTTGAAGACAGCTTCTCGCCCACAAGCGTCTTCAAAAGGTTCTTGGCAGACTGAGCATCCCAGAGCACAAAAGTTTTGTCTTTACCTTCACTTTGTCTCAGCACAAAATAGATGCCTTTCACCTCTGGTTTAAGAGTAAAAAGATTTAAATACTAGCTTGGTATTCCTTCAACATGGAAATCTGCCTTTGAAACACAAGCAGAAATGCAAAATGCTTTTTTAGAATTACTCTAGAAGTGTGACAAAGAACTAGAGGGTATGAGTTTGAAATAAGCATCCCCAAATTAAGCTGTGGGCGTCCCTCATCATGAGGTGCCTGTAAGAGAAGTAACTGATATCTATATTCATATCCATGTATATGAGAGTCTGAGCAGTCCCTGTGTGATTCCAGTAAAACCCTGCTAAGCAGCTGAGTAGATTTTACAAGTCAGAATCACAGAATCATTAGGGTTGGAAGGGACCTCTGGGGATCAGCCAGTCCAACCCCCCCGCCAAGGTAGGGTCCTCCAGAACAGGTTGCACAGGGACTTGTCTTGGTGGGTTTTGAATGTCTCCAGAGAGGGAGACTCCTCAGCCTCTTCCTCTGCTGCCCTCAGTGTAAAGAAGTTCTTCCTCATGAGGTTGAATTTCTTGTGATTTAGTTTATGGCCATTGCTCCTTGTCCTGTCACTGGGCACCACTGAAAAGAGTCTGGCACCATCCTCTCTGCACAAAACTTTGAGATAATAATGAGGTCCAGTTTCTGGCTGCTCTAGACCAAACCTGCCCAGCTCCCTTAGTTTCTCCTTGTAAGAGAGATTCTCCAGAGCCCTCATCATCTTTGTGTGATGGTGGCAAAAGAAAACATATGATATGTGGGCCATCTGTATTTATGGACACAATCCAAGTGCTTTTAGGTTCATGCTATACTGTTGTAACTCTAGTTTGAGTGGTGTTAAAAGTTACATTGACAGCCATGAGAACATGAGGCATTGCCAGATATTCTGCTTTTTTGCATTATAGGCCTTTGCAGACAAACACTCTTTGCTACTCTCTTAGTAAGATTATTTATCTGCATATTAACTTGATTCCACTTATTTACCCCAAAGCTGTATGTAGGATCTTCCACATCAGTTTCAACATCTCTAGTAAATTCTTGTTCTTATGTGTTTAGGAGCAACTACTGATTACATTCTAGACTCACAATAGAGTAAAAAGAATGTTTTTTACACATTTTTTTCAGTTTACAAAATGAAGAGTCTTTCTCAAAAGTGCATCTGTGGCATATTTTCTACTATTTCAATGAAAGGATATAGGTTTCTAAGTACTTAAGGAACTTCTGAGAGCATGTTTTATCTGTTCACGTCACTTTGCAGCATCTGGAAGTGCTGTTCCTGTTGTTTCTAGTGAGTGGTGATTCAGACATCTTTGTGGTTTCAGATGTGGTGGTGCAGTGGTGCACACAAGGAGACCTGCTGGCGGTAGCAGGCATGGAGAAGCAGAACCAGCTGCTTGACCTCAGCAATGGCTCCCTGCTGAAAAGCGCGCTGGTCAAGTTCTACAATGTGCGTGGGGAACACATCTACACCCTGGAGACACCTGTGCAGGTAGGAGGCATTTTTAAAGTCTGTTCTCCCTGCTTTGCTGACATGTTTTTCCCACTTTAGCTCATTGCTGTAGACCTGCAATGTGGAAAAGGTTGCAAAATGTCCCGAATCCATCCTAAAACACAATGTAGATAAAAATGAGCTATAAACAATGGTTGTTTGCATTAAGGGAGACATGCAAGACTGCACCTGATTCTAAGGTCCACTGTGGTAGGCATTGTGGAAATACAAAAGGAGAAAGTCTGTTTCACAAACTCACTGGGCCATGAACAGACAAACAGAAAAAGAAAATTCCATTGTTTTATGGATAAGTGACTGAGGAGAAAAAAAACTGAATAATTTGCTTAATGTTGTAGCAGAGCCAAGAGCAGGACAAAAATATTCCAAGTCCAGTATCATAACTACCAGATTATTCCATTACTGTAATTTTCTAATGTACAGTCATTTGGTGTGATGCAGTAACCTCAGTCATGTAACTTGCAAAGTTAATGCCAGCATATGGTCTGTGAGCTGCTCAGGAGCAAAACATGCTTCATAGGTGTTTGCTGGTACTTCAGAGCCCAGCTGAATTCTGTGTCATTTTCTGCAGAATAGGGATGACTCCATTCTGGCTTCTGCTGCTAGTAATGAAACTTTATAATAGCTTTGAAATCTAAAAGTGAAGGAAAATGCTGTAGATATATTAATTATATTTAATGATGATACCATGTATTATCATTTTTTTTCCAGTACCCTGACCTGGAATGGATGCAAAAGGGTGACATAGTAAACCATCTGCCAAGCCTTTGTGTTTGCTTATATTTAGCATTAACCTGTGCTTATTAACCTTAGCACTCTAATTTAGATAGAATTCTTTAGTTGTGTAAAGTGTAAAATAATGGTCTCTAAAGCCAACTTAAATATGTACAGTGATGTCTAATGCTGATTTAGGTACCTAAAGGACTCACCCATAAACACAGCTGTGTTGTCTCCACTGTAGCCCTTGCAGCAAAGTAGCCCAGCCCTTTCCTCTCTGGGTCAGTTCTGAAGAAAACATATTTATATCAGTGTTGCTTTTTCCCAGCCCAGGTGAAAGCAAACCTTGTTCTGTTACTTCAGTACCAGAACTCAGTATGTGCAGATCAGCTGTTGAACCCTCTGGTGCCAGGCTGTGAAATCACTCTGTGGTTTGAGCATCAGAACCCACCAGGTCAGGTTGTGACTTATGTGTGTGCAGGCTTTTCCCTCACTGCTTTTTTCCTGCTAATTTCAAATTCTCCTTAATTTAAATACTTTCATCACCCCTAGTTCTCCATGTATAGCTTCAACTTCTTTTCATGTTTTCAGCTCTTTCCTTTCTCCTCCACCCAACCAGCTGGGAGAAAGCACATATTGTGCCTGATGTGGGGGCTAATTATTCTGCCATTATGTGAGTGCTTACAGGGCAGCTGAGAGGTCAGACAGAACAGGTGCATGCCAAGTTTGTACTGCAGTATTTCCAGTAGTGGAAGTAGTAATATAAGCCTTTCTGCTCTTTCCAGCAGCAATTTTTGTTTGGAATAGCAATATTTTAATGTAATGGAGATTTCTTCCCCCATTGTCAATTGCAGACTAAAAGCCAACTTCAGAAGTTGTAAGCCAGGTTGTTAAGTGAAGGATGAGGACACTCAGGGAGAGGCAACCACCAATTAATAGCAGAATCAAGGAGTCTCACTTCCTTGGGAAATTAGGATAAAAGTAGCATTCAAACTCACATATTTATGTTTATTAAAAAGCTGTGCGCATAAACCTACCTAAAATTAGAGCCACCCCTCTTCTCTTATTAGTCAGTGTTTAGTCTCTTTATTTGGTGCATCTAAATTCATATTTACTCAGCTGCAGGAGGAAGTGAGTGATCTTTCAGAAGAACACCTGTGTCTACTCTCATGGATTTTATTCTCCTATGTATTTGAATGCTGGTCTAGCAGTATTAGCAGCTAAATGACAGGTATGCTGGAACATTGTTAAGTATTTGGTTTAGTGACAAAACCAGATAAAAACCAGTGTTGCAAAAAAATTACTGGTAACTTCTGCTATGCTGTGCCTGTGCTCCAAAGATGTATGTGCAAAGATGAGAGTGAGTCAGTGGTCCTAGTAATTTGTCTCATGACAAATTCATCAGAATAAATTAATTAGTTTTCTGTTCCATGGCAGTCAGCCTTGTAATGGGATTTTATAAGATTCATCACTGGTTACTGAACTAAAAAAAAAAAAAAAAGAAGAAAATAAAAGAATTTCCTCTTTCCTCATTTTGAACTCTTCTGCTAAGACTTTCTTGTCTTAGCAGAAGAGCAAGAAGAAGCAAATGTGTGACTGGAAATGATTGAACAGTCATTGATTATAAATGACTGTTGTTCTGAATACAAAAGCCAGGAAAAATAAAACAACCATCAATATAAAAAATAATGGATTACAGTTACAAAACTGATTTTCAGTGTGGTTATCTGTCCTAATTCTTTGACATAGCAAATGTCTGAAAATTTTATCAGTAAAATATACTGAACTGTTTTGTTTCTGCTGTTTGTCTGTCCTGTCTTCGGTAGGATAGTCAGGAAGCAGATTTTATTGTTTATAACAAAACTCAGTCTAAGACTGACAGGATTTGTATGCAACTTAGCTAGAGTATTACTGAACATAAAGTCACTGCAAACCCCAGTGGTAGAATAGATTTGGGAACTGCAGGTAACTCATCTGAATGATGACTGTTGTCATGGATCCCTTCAAGATGTTCCATATGCTGCCTTCTGCTCCAGCTTTAGTGTGGTTTTGGCATCCTCTGTCTCGTTTGATTAACTCTCTTCAGCTTTTACCTTCAGTGTAGGAATTTATAGTTCATAAACCTAGTTTGCTGACTATAAAACTCAAGATAGGGAAATCACACTTGTTTAGAAGTATTGGAATAAAAGCAGTAGCTTTGCTTGAAAAACAACATTCATAAACAGAGTGGTAGAGTTGGCATAGTGTAGCATTCGCTCCTGTTCCTGGCTCTGGGGCTTCAGCCTGGCATCCTGCAAGGATGTGTTTGCAGAATAGAGTGGAAAGAGCTGAAAAAGCATCGGTAAGGGCTGGTCAAATACTGAACTGAATTCTATGCAGAGAGCATATTTTAAGGGCTGGTGATCAGCTGATGGCTATTCAAATACATACTATCAGTTTCTGTAAAATTTACCTCTTACTATGCCCATCCTTGTATGCACTACAAACACCAATGTGAGGTATGAAAAATATGCCCAGGTTTTTCATGGTCCTGCTTTTTCAGTATTTAAAAATGAGACTGCAACAGCAGGCTGCCCTGCTGGTCATAATGTTTTTATTGGAAGGATGTTAATTTCTTATATTGTTTGGTAAGTCCTCACAACCTTTCCCCGGCATCAAGCAGGGATGAGAATAATCAACTCCTTTAAGACTGTTTTATAGTCCTGCTAAAATTGTTTACCAAATGCTGCAACCTAGTTCTGTCACTTTAGAAGATCTCCTCTAATGTGCAGACAGGTCTTTATTATATCAACCAGCTTTACCTGCTGTCACTTCTGATTGGAAACAGATGCTTCATATCTTCCTATATCCTGAACTTTGAACAGGAGTCTCCTACAGGATCTCTTCAACATTATCTAACTGCCAACTTTAACAAACTTGTGATTTTTTGCTTTGTAATGGTTCAGTCTTGTGGCTTATATTTGGTCCCTTCTTCAGGTTTTATGACTTTTTAATATGCCCCAGAGAGGACCAGGGGAACAAGAGCACAGATTTAGAAGCTACAATGCAGATCTCCTCCATACACCTTTAATTCTACAGTAAATTTACATGACTTTAAGGTTTTATATCACTGTGTAGCTGATGTGAGTACAGATTACATCTCAAGTGCAGTGAAGGAGGATGAGAGGGAGCTAAGCTTCACATGTGGTATAGACAACAAAATTAAATGTAAAAAACCCATGTTTATCTGTGTAATATTTTTAAACCAAATTCAAGGTGATGTACCAAAGACTAAATTTTTATGGAAGAAGTTTCCAGAAGTCTTTGAGAAGAAAACCAGCTTGCTATAGACCTGCTGCTGTCAGCATTTCACAGACTGCTTCTCTGCTGGAAATGTCCCAGCATCTAAATGAATAGATTGAAGATTATATGATCCTGCAGAAACCTGGTAGTTCTGTAAAGGCTAGAGAAGGAAGGTGCAATTTTAGGTTTAATTCAGATCAAAAGGTTCTGAAAGAAGAGGCTGCTTTTTTATGTTATTCAGCTGGGCAGACCTTGCTTACTTTTCTTCATTTATTTCACACAGAGTTTTCAGGTTTGTTGCATCTGAATTAATGTTGCCTTTCATTTATATTGCCTAAAATCAATTTTATTTAGTTGTTATAGGATGACAACAAAGCTTCAAGAAGAGTTTATTTTCCTACAGGAAAAAAAAGCAACAGTTTAGAACTAACTGGTGAAACATGCTTTAGTACATCAATAAGGACCTTGGTGTTCTTTATATAGGCACAGGATCATCTCTGCTGCACAAATGGATTTTGATCAGCACTGGAAATTGAAGACACTTTTCTCAGCAACTCTTTCTGTTAAAATGGAATCTTGTTGTATTGACTTCTTAAAAGATACTGTAGAAGTAGAGAGGGTATAAGAAACAGCTGCAAATCAAATAAGGGTTTATGACATCAAAAATCATATCAGGCCACAGCAGTGGCAGATTTCTCATCATTTGTCACCATCAATTCTTAGCAGTTAATATTTTTCCCACTGTAAATATGAGGAGCAGAAGAATGAAGGAGTTGCTTTCCCACACCATCCATGAATGCTGTGGCAGCACAGAGGTGTGCACACACCACTCACAAGAGCCAGGTGGGCACTGCAGCCTTTCAGCTTGTCTCTGAGAGGGAAGAGTGTGCATCTCTGCATCAGCAGTCTGGAGTGAGAGCAAGCAGGCAACCTACTTACACATGCCATTCACTGGATATTATTTCACAGTTGTGTTCTTCCTCCTGAGAAAAGTCCTGCTAGTTCCTGGGCTTTCTGCCCTGGAATACTATTTTTATTTCATTACCGGTGGGAGTCCCAGTGCTAACAAACAAGGGATTAGTTCAAGCAGCAGGCAGACCCCGTGGCTCAGGATTTCTGAGCTCAAGGCAGGCAGCAAGAATCAGCTAGAACAGTGTTTTCATTGACTGAACTGCATACAAGTGATAGGATGTATATCTATTATGTTCTCTCCTGTAATAGATACAGTAGGGTGACTCATAAGAAGCAACCACAGGACTTTGAGTGGGAATATCTATTCCTGCATGCTCTTCTAAGGGGAATCAACATCCCAGCTGGGGTGGGATGTTGATTCCCCTTAGAAGAACATGCAGGAATGAGTAGATTTGAGTAGCTGTAGCTCACTTTCAAGCCCACTTAGAAAGAAATGGCAAAAGAGCTCCTTGTTAGTCACTTGGTGAGATGTGTTTTCAGTCAATATTTCTCCTGATAAAGCTTTTTTTTTTTCTTGTGCTTTAGCCAGTATTTTCTAATATATAATTGTCATAGAGCTACATGTTGGTATTTAAATCCTGGAATTCATTCAGGTATTTACAGTTTATGCTGAGATTTTTCACAACCTGATGATATTTTTATATGCAAAGTGAGATTAGAAATTCTCATGTTATATTGGTAGCTGCATTTCTTCATTCCTAGCAGAAAAAAAACCCCGACTGTGCAAACATGAAAAATAAAATTCTTCTGCCCTAGAATCTGCTTGTTCATTTTTTAACAGGTGGATACAACAACAATTTGTGTACAACAACTTTTGTCCTTCCTTGTTTTGCTAAAACAGTGCAAATAAGTGGAAGCTTTATGAGGAACAATACTTTTATGTTGGATGCTGGAGGTCAATTGCTTTTTCTCAGTAGAGTTTGAAAAGAAAGCTGTGGCCAGCTCATAACTGACTTGCTGCAGTAATTGATTCATATCTCTTGTCCAGCAAAGGAAAGACTGGGAAGCATAGTTATTGAAAAATATTATTGGAGCAGTACTTTAAAGGTCAGGTCAGATCTGGCATTTGGGCGATCTTTTATTTTTCCAAGCCTGTAATGACAGGCTAATTTTCCTTGAAGCTCATCTGAAGTCTTAGCCCTTCACTGTAAATTAAATGTTGCTGACCACTGGGCTGGAGGTGCACCAAGGGTCTGACCATTTCAGAGAAAGGAAGGCAAGGTATGCCTGGTGGTGTGGTGCAATTGCTCTTTGTTGAGGTTGAAAATATTAAAACATAATGAGGTCTGTGGGGAAACTAATTGTACAAATGGAAGAGTAGAAATGTCATGATTTACAAACAGTACAGCACATTTAGGTATTGTGTGTGGGTTTGTTTAATCATCCACCCACTCACATATTGTTTGCATATACATTCATAAGCAGAATATAGGAGCATCATACATTGAGAAGTTTAGAAGGTGACTGAATTATGGTTGCCTGTAGGGAAACAGTGGTGAAGTTTTCAACTTCTGACTTTCTGCTCCTCAGAGCTCCACAGTGCTGTGTTGCCAGAGGTCCTACCCTGCATTTCAAAGCTTCTGAAAAACCTTTCCCTTGAGAAAGTGTTTTAGATTGCAAAGGTTCCTGCACTGCTACTATCTGCACCTCTGGTGCTCTATGTGTGCAGCAGTAACCTGAGGAAAGAGGTGGCTTTTATTTGACTCTGTTTGGATGAAGAATGTCCTGCCTGGGTGTGATGTTTTGGGTTATAATAGCTGCAATATGAGACATCGGGTCTGGGTGTGCTGTATGGGATTATGATAGCTGGGATATTCAACTTCTCTTCTGCTGTTAAAGTCTATCCAATAAATAAACATTTGTGTGCCAAGTCACATACTTGTTTGTCCCCTCACTGTGTTTGTAGGTAAGCTGTAGCTGATGCAAAGTGAACAGCAGGATGCAGTTTGGATCCCACAGTCATGATCAGGCAGATAGTGCTGTCCATGCTGGGATTCAGCTCTTGGGGAAAATCAGGGTCACTTCTACTGTGCTTTCTCAGGCTGTCCTGTAGTAGATGTGGCAGGTACCTACATTTTGCCAGTGCCTTTTCAGTTGCATTTATTTGGTAAACAGTTTGAACTGTCTCATTGCTGCCAGACAGTGTGAGGGCCGAGCCACACTCACAAATCATGAAAATACCAATCAGTAGGGGATACCTCATGTGGCCTCTCCCCAAATGCAAGGCTGTATCCCACAGATTATGGCTATGGCAAACCATGTAGAATTATTGATGGCACACAAAGGATTTCTCAATTCTTTTGAAGTTCTCCACTACAAAATGCATTCAGCAATTACTGTGAAAATCACAAGGTTCACATGTTGCTTCTTTCTATTTGCGCATCAGTCAGCCTGGAGATTTGTGCCTTCCTGGAGGTGTGTGTGTGGTGTTGCCCAGATGTAATTAAAAAAAAGTTCCTTCATTCCTCCTACTTTAAAATCAGTATTTTCCTCGAAATTTAAATCTAGGATAAGTTGACATAGTAGGGAAGATCTCTTAGGTTTTTCATCCAGTGCTTTATCTTGATGATAAATGTTGGTATGGTGCTGTTCCAGCTGCATTTTGCTTCATATCAGTCACATAAACCAATCTTTTCCCAGTTTCTTGCCTTTAAGCATCTTGAATTTGTAAATGGAAGGCAGGCTTTTTCCCCAGACCAGGTTGATCTAACCCTGCTACCTGGGACCATCCTGCTAATAGAGGAGTGAATAAAAGCTCTTATTGCTGCTGTCTTGACCCTGTCTTCTTGTTTGATGTGTCTTGTGAACAGATATTCCAAATATACCCTGACTTTTCAATAAATACAGTTCATTATTTAGATGAAAACATGTTTGCTTAAACTTCTGAGTGTCACAGATGGTGAAAACAAGGAAGACCTTCACAGAAAGGAGTAAATCTTTTGTAGTTGATGACAACCTGCTGTATAGCATTCTTCATGGAGTTAGAGCTTCATCTTTACTTTGTGTTGTTTATTTGCACAGAGGTAGCAGATGGGATTGAAATACCACAGGGTGTGTGTATATAAGCAAATACAGGAGCTTTGTAACACAGAAAGCAAGAGATGACAGGTGGATGCAAATAACACTTAAGGGCAAAAGTAATGATGATAAGGCTGGAGGAGGTCACAACGGACTGGTACTTTACAAAAAAGTATGGGATTTAGAAGTAAAGTTTAGGGAGCTCCTTGCAAGCAGGAAATAAATGTTCTAAGCAGCAGTGTTTGTTCATCGTTATTCTGTTATTGTGACATTTCGTATCAGTTGGCCCTGACTCCTTCTGGTTTTACTGTCATGATTTGGACATTTCTGAGTCTAGACAAGTAAAAGACAAAAGGCCATTCTCTGTTGCATTCCTGGTGCTCTTTCACAGTTCAGTTCTTCCGGGAATAGTTCAAAAGAGACACTACAGCAGAAGACTTGGCACAAAACAAGAAAGCTGGTTGGGTTTTGTCCACTTGTTTTTTAAGTGTCTCCAGGCATATCATTTAACTTTTCAGATGTAAAATACGAGCTGTTACCAATGGGTGAAGACTGATTAGATGACTGAATAAATCATTTGCATAGGCCATCAAAAGATCCTACTTCTCAACACCCTGTGTCTTTAAAGTCACTTAAACCTATCTAGGTACTTAATTTGGTAGCTGATTCCTTGTGTGAAGAGTTTAAGTATCCTGAGTAAAAAGCACTGAATAAACATCAGCTGCTGTTTTTGATGATTTGATGTCATTATAGAGCACGACACAGTACAAAGTACCACGACTCCATCAGAAGGGTGCAAGAGAGATTTATTAGAGCAACATGTTGCTTTTATTCTTTTCCAAGATACTTACATTCACTTAACATACACATTCTCTGCCCATTAGTTATAGGAAAGAAACAAAGTTCTCAGTGGGTGACCAAGGAGCCATGGCATTCTGTGAGCCAGCTAGAGTCTGTATCTCTTAACTTTCTCTCCTTTATCACATCTCCATAGTGACAACCTTGGTGTCTTTCTCAAAGGAGATATAGGGCTTTCCTTTATCTTCAGGAGGCCTTTGGTGGCTCACAAGAACAGTACAGAATGTCTTTCCTACAATTTGAGTTGTTCATATTCTACTTCTAGGGGCAGTGGTGGGCACTTGAAGTTTCTGGAAAACTTTAGGGTAATGTGATCGGTGTGAATTCATGTGATCACTTCTTGCACAGCCATCTTGGAAAAAGCTCTTTTGCACAAAATCTTTTGAAGTTGTATCCTTTTGCTCTTCATGCAGCGTCCCATCATCTCCATCTGTTGGGGTCACAGGGATTCCCGCCTGCTGATGGCCTCTGGGCCCGCGCTGTACGTGGTCAGAGTGGAGCACAGGGTCTCCAGCCTGCAGCTGCTGTGCCAGCAGACCATCGCCAGCTGCCTGCGGGATGACAAGGACATCAGCAAGCTGACCCTACCCCCTCGGCTCTGCTCGTACCTCACCACTGCCTTCATACCAACAATCAAGGTAAACAGAAAGAAATGGGTGCCTTGTGAAGAGGGAAGTGTTGCTAGATCTGCCCCCTCCACGGTGCTCCTAAGTGGCAATGGTTAAATGATAAGATTTTATCATTTTAAAAGCTTTCACATCCTCTTCAAGACCCCACTGATGCATTTGGTTCCTATTAAAAATCTGAAAGGAAGCTCACACATGCTGATCTGCATTATTCCATGGAGATGGCCTTTCCAAGTACGTAACAAGGGTAAAATATGCTGGTGACTCACAAAGACTTCTGAAGAAGCTCATGCTGGTGATAATGCTCTGTCACGGTTACAGGAGGGATTCACAGGGGTAAAAGTGTACCCCCTCTACACGTCACAGGAGTGCTTATAGTCCCAGGAAGGTTAGGCTTAAGACCTGGGGCTGCCCAAACATTTCTACTAACACTGAGTTCTGCTAATCTTACTGCTCCAACAGTGCTATGGAATAATGAGCCAGGTATCACACCTTTTCCTGTACCACCAGCAGAATCATCTGCACAACCTGTTTGTTTCATAGTTTGGCCCTCAGAACATCTTGGGATTTCTAAGCTGTTTATCACAGCCTATAAACCAGAGCATTAGCTGGTAAATGCTTGGCATTCAAACATACATTTTTGTGATTTTTTGTGTACGTATTACACCAGTCCTCTTCATCCAGAGGTCCTCGTTAAAACAATGCAGAGCTAGAACAACTAATTTGAAATCAGTGGGGCTGACCCAGCTTAAATGAGAAAAAATTATGCCTACAAAATAATAATTCAGTATGGTTCCATTTGGGTTCTGCTAATCAGGGCAGTTTGTGCAACTGTAAATAATTTCATTTGTCAAAGAACAATATAAATGCCTTGCTGTAACCATAACTCCTGGATCTCCAAAGATGCAGAGCATTTACCAGGCCAGAAGTCTTCAGTTCTTTCTAGTTCTTTCCATCCGAGGTTCTCCCCAGGATGCTTCCCATGTTGTTCTAGAGCATCAGTGTCAATTCCTGGCTGTCAGGGCAGGCAGGGAAGAGGAGGGGATGGGTTGGATGAAGGCAGCAGTTGGCTGGGAGCCCTGGTGGGGGTCAGAGGGCAGTGCAGGGACACATCATTGCCAGCAGTCCTTGTGTCACCTCCTAGTGGAGATGCAACGATGCAAAGCAGTCGTGGTGCTGCGTAGCTGAGAGGTGGGAGCAGGGTTTCCAGAAGCCACATGCCTCTCCTGTTTCATGGCTGTTTCTGGAGCCTCATCAGCACTTACGCTTTACCCTGGCTCATCCCAGTCACCCACTGAACCTATGTTGTCAGCCATGCCTTCAGTGCTAGGCAAGGCACCCTTTTCCCTGCAAATATTCCTCTTCCCCCTCCAGCTTGCAGACCACATTACAGGTCACTCCTCAGCCTATATCCATTTGCCAGGTTAAGGAAGCCTATTTTTTAGCCTATTTTTTTCCTACCTCTTTTTCCTTATGCTTTCATTTTGAAAGAAACTCTGTTGACTTACACACATTAATAGTATTGGTGTCATACAGGCTATATTGTCCTAGACAAAAGCAGTCCTACTGTTTTAGGATTGAGTTTTTCATGGATTAATACAGTGTCCAGGCAAGCAGGGCAAAGTAATCCAAGCTTTGTGTTTGTATTTCTCTACGTGGGACACAAATAGGCCCTCAGCTAGGATGGGACATGTGCTTGGAAGTGATATAAAAAGTACAAGCTTCTTCTAGAGTTGACAGCATTGAAGCATAGTGGCATAGCATGTACCGGTGCTAACCAGGAATGGGATCTGAGTGTCCAGGTGCACTTCCAGGGCCTGCAGGAGACAAGATACTCTGATACTTGACTTGACCACATTACTCAAGTTCAAAAAGAAGTTTCTGATAAGAGCTGGAACTTGATGACAGGTTTGTTGTCTCATTCAGTGCTCTGACCCACAGGTTCAACCTTCCTTTTTGATGTAATTAGTTTTAGTTTTTATTTTCTGTATACAACTGCTTTTGATCTAACTAAATAACACACAGCCATTCCATCTTGCATGTGGGTCCTGCATAAGTCATGAAATAACCTATACTAATCTTCACCTGCCAAATTAGAGCTGGGTTCAAGTTCAGTTAGTTGTGTTGGGATTAAGTCACCACAGAAAAGAACCCCAACCAATATTGGAAAACTTTCTCTTTCCTTCCGCTGTTGAATGAAGCCTCCAATCCCAGACCCAAACAATATGAGAGATTTTGTCAGCTACCCAACAGCTGGGAATGAGCGGCTGCACTGCACCATGAAGCGGACGGAGGATGACCCAGAGGTCGGGGGTCCCTGTTACACACTGTACTTGGAATACCTTGGGGGGCTGGTGCCCATCCTGAAAGGACGTCGGATCAGCAAGCTGCGGCCGGAGTTTGTCATCATGGATCCTAAAACAGACGGAAAAGCAGGTACAATTCAGTTGTTGCTCTGTGTAAAAATGATTTAGCAACACTTTGGACGCTAAATCCTCAGGAGTTTTAAAAAATACATACGTGCAGCATGGATGGCAGCATCTGATATTTTTTTCTGATGTGAAAAAAATCTTTAGCGTGACCTAGAAGCTTCTGAAATTATACCCTGCTGCCTTTGGTTTTACAGAAGAGAACTTCGTGTATTCTGAGTAAAGGAATATAGATTGCTAATTAGCAGAAAATATTCTTTAGTCTCAATTTCAAAGTCAGTTGAATGCTATTCATCCCTCTGAATAATGTTCACTTGAGTTCAAACTATTGGAAATTTGGAGTTGGAAGGCAGAGTGGAGAACATTTAATTTTCCTCTGCAAAGTTTTATTTCAACTGCTGCCTGTGGATCGGGTTTATGCTTCTGATGACTGAGAGTTATAATTTATACCAGTTTTCTGAAGCAGCACCTAAATTTTCTGGGGCCTGTCTTGATAGATGAAATCTATGGAAACAGCTTGATTTCCACTGTGATTGACAGCTGCAACTGCTCTGACTCCAGCGATATCGAACTCAGCGATGACTGGGCAGCAAAGAAATCTCCAAAAATCAGTCGAGCTAGCAAATCACCTAAACTCCCCAGGTAATAACCTCTTGGATAGTTCTTCTTTTTCCTCAAGTGGCCTCTCTTCCTCCCTGCCTCTCCTTCTCTCTCTTGACACCTTGTAAAATGAAAAGTAAACTCCTTTGGGCACGTAGGAATTCTCTGTAGGATTGGGATCCTATGCAATGTGCAGTTCTGGGGTGATCTCAGAGATTGGCATAGAGCTGGACTTAAGGGAAGATTTCTGGGACAAAATGTAATGGGAAACAATAGAGCACAATTTCTCCCCAGGCAGTCTCAAAGAAAGACTTTTATAAACTCTCCCACCTTTCCTTTTCTTTCTCTCTTCCATGGAGATGGAATATATTTTGTCCTTCCAACAGACTGTTTTTTACTTTTGTTTGTTACATTTCTGCCAGTGAACTCTTTAGGTGCTTGAGCTGGTATTCTTGACTCTGCCTTGTATAGTGGGAGGTAGAAATAACTTTTGACTTAGGGTAGGAACATTGACAACATTTCTGGAGCCTTGGTTTGCTGTGTATACTAATGTGAAAATCTGTCAGCTGAGGTGTCATGTTCTCATTTCTTGAGACTTTGCTCAAAGTCTGCAGAGCTGAGATCATTCATCTCTACATCTTTTTGGGATTAGTGGAAGACAAATTGTATCTGGCAGAGCTGCTGGAAGCTTTGTTAGATTAATTAGAAAGCATCTAGCATGAGTTACTGCAAGTGTGTCAGGTCTTCAAATTTGACCCATAATTCTCTATCCTGTAGGCTCTACAGTCTTTATTAGTCACTTTGAGGACATCCTACCAGTTGTCTTCTTCTTACATCTTTCCGTTCAAAGACATGAGTTTTGTGCATTTTAGCCTGTCCATTGTTGATTCCAAGTATTGCTTTACCTGCAGAATCAATATAGAAGCTCGCAAATCTCCAAAGATGTCACGAGCTGCACAGGAGATCTCAAGATCACCAAGGTTACCAATAAGGAAACCCTCTATTGGTTCTCCAAGCCTGACACGAAGAGAGTTTCCTTTAGAAGATATTACTCAGGTATTGTGCACATTGTTACCATACCTGATTCAAATGCATTTTTTTTCATGAGGCAGCATATTGTGGTAGAGATCAAATGATCAGCAATGAAAGTTTGCATTATATTACAATAAGTAGATAGAACTAGAGAATTGCATCTTCCAGTTCAGTACTAATGTTTGAAAGTGCCAGTAGAGTATGAGGTGATGTTTGGCAAGTACCAGGACCAGTTACTTTTGTCAGTGTGAATCCATGTGAGATGCTTTATTCTAGGTGATGTTGTTGGCTTTTTGAAAGTGTATGTGAAAACACTTCATCAGTTTTTCAGACCCATCTTAATGCCACCATGATTCTCTGCTTTGCTAGGGATTGCAGAGATAAGGAAATGTTTGCTTCAGAGGACCACATGGTCTGTTTCATAATTAACATGAAACAGTCTTAATTGGAAGGAAGGAAAGGAATTACCACTTTGTGCTCTTCGTGGTATTCATGTCCTCTGGGTAAATGAAACTTAGCAGGCTGTAGAACTGTCTAGGTTGTATATTTCATTAATAACAGCCTGTGTTACTGTAATTTTCTTTTGTTTGGCTTGGTTTTTTCTGCTCTCTTGTTTTTCCTTTTTATGAAAAATTCTAAACAGTTACACGAAGCTAGGACCAAAAGCCCTTTGAGTAGAGCAGAAGACCTGAGGCTTAGATCCTGCTCCTGATACTAGCAGCATAACTCCTGGCCTTTGAGAAAAATCTGTTGGTCTTTCAGACCCATAAATATGTGTACCATGGCAACAGTGGTTTGGGAAGTTGCTTTAGGAGCTCCAGGGGAATATATGTTTGTTGTTATGAGTAATTAATTTCTGTCTTGTTTATTGTTCTATAAAGTGATTCATGAGCATAGAACCAACGCGCAGGGTGTATCACTCTCTGAAATACAGAATAGCCGTGGTCCTGCTGGGCAGGAGCAGCAAATGCCAGAAAACAGACCTGTTCTCACTAAACAGGCATTCTCCACTCAGTGTTGCTCAGATCTTCAATAGCTCTAATCACCCTGTGGCTGATGCATACATCATTTCTGATGGTGTTAAGATATCAGAATGAGTCTTCTTAATGACTGGATAAAACTGTTGCTACATAGGCACTTTAGGCTGTTTCAATACAATAAAAACAAGATAGACTGAAATTGCATTATCACTTGCAATAGCTTGATTGCTCTGCAGTTTTTTATTAGAGCTTGATACAGATTTTATCGGATAAAAATGATCTTGTTTTTGTTTTGCAGCACAACTACCTTGCTCAGGTCACATCTAATATCTGGGGAACCAAATTTAAAATTGTGGGTTTGGCTGCTTTCCTACCAACTAACCTTGGTGCAGGTAAAAGTAAACTGTTGTGTTTTTTGCATGTCAATTTCTTTCTAACAAACAAGAAACTTACACCATGAGATTTTTTTGTAACTGATCAAAAGGCTTCCTTAACAAAGCACTTATTTTCTGTGGACAGTGGGAGTTAGATTTTATTAAATTCACTGTAACTAAAGAAGATTAAAATCTATAAATACAATAAGGAGCTATCAATAAAATGCTAAAAATCTCACTTGTAATAAGACAGTAAATCAACATTTGAGCCCAGACCTCTATTTTTACAGTTTATTGGAACAAAACCCACACAAATAAAAAAAGGGTTTTGCAAGAGGACTATAGAAATAATAGGTTTTAAGTTACTGCCATAGAACTATTTTTTAAAGTCATATTTTTATAATTATTTAGCTACAAGTTATATGAAAAAGCTATTATGGCCTCATGCTCAAGATTCTTCAAGTCAGTGCAGAGCCTCATCACATGGTTCTCCTGCTGGAGCATCAGTAATCTGGTAGCCATCATTAAAAGCAGCAGTTGTCTATTATCAGCCTTTTTCTGGGGAGGCCAGTTCTGCCCAATAGTCCTGTTGGGAAGGAAGAAGGCTGGGTAAAAAACAGGGTACCACACTGCAGAACTGAGCTCTGAACTGAAATATTAACACAAGTCTAGCAGTTTAATGAGCTCTTTAGAACACTTGTTTTGTCCCATGTTGCATTATGTAGTTGGGTCAGGAGTACATAAAGGTGCCCTGGATGCAGAATTAGGTGGATAGCTTTTGTGGCTATATGGACTGCTATCAGCAGTTGAATGACCACAGGTCATTCTAATTCTCTCACTGCTGATGGCAGATAGGGAAGGATTTAAGTGTAGAGTAAATGGATGGTGATACTTCCTTCAAATGTTCTCCCAGTCTCCAATGGTTTGGTTCCCAGGGATTTCCTGAGCCCAGTGGGATTTCTTTGTATGTGGTAACCGTCAGCAGATTTCCTTCCTGAGAGCTTTCCAGTTTTCCCCTGTAAATTGGTACAATCCTGTGGTGAAAAGTTTCAAAAGTAGAATGGAAAAAAGTCTTTTCCTTCCATAAAAATAGATGTGAATACAAGATGAAGTAATTAATTATTTAATTACAGAGATGTTGCTTCCATCTAAAGAGAAATAGCTGAAAGCACCAGTCTTTTCTATCCCATTTATGCAAAGTGTTAGATAGTGATTTAACAAATAATGGCTTGCCCATGAACATGTGTACAGTACATAACAATATTCATAGCCCTTCTGTCTGCTTTGAATTGCTTCTTCCTTGGCTTTACATGCTATCTGTGTAACGAACTTTTTTCTTTCTTATGTTCTTTCTCTAGTAATATATAAAACCAGTCTGCTCCATCTGCAGCCCAGGCAAATGACAATATATCTCCCAGAAGTGCGGAAGATTTCAATGGACTACATTAACATGCCTGTCTTTAATCCAAATGTTTTCAGCGAAGACGAAGATGATTTACCAGGTAAGGAGGAGCTGGAGGGGCTGCCATGTTATGGGTTAAGTTAGATGGAGGTCAGGTTGGTTGTGTCATGGTCCCCTCTGGTAAACACACAAATCAAAATCCTTTAGTCTGATGGGGTTCTGTAGAACTGAGTTAGAATAAGGCTAAATATGTATTATGGGCATTGTTTTCTGTGATGTGTGGAAAATATAATCCATAAAGAGCTCCTTAGTTTCAAGTTCATTGGGAAATTAGTTGTCTGCTAATTCATCTTAGTTTGCTAGGAATTCTCCACAGACTGAAGCCTTGCATTCTGCATCTTGATAGGACAGAATTGTAATCTGTTGGAAATCCAGACAGGCTGTTCTTGATACCTGATGGCATCAAACCTGATAGGAGCTTGCGTTGGAGAGCAGGTTCCCATAAAATTCAGCCACCCTTTGAGAAGTGATAAATGCTCATTTGTGCTTTTATCACTACTAAGAGGCTGAAGTAGTAAAGTAGTTGACAAACAAAGCAGGATCAGGAAGAATTTTTCACTTCACTGAGGTGAAGATTTAAGCAATGCAGGGAAGGTTTGGGTGCAGGTGATGTGATGTGGAAGGGGAAAGGACTGGAAGTACTCAAGACCTCCTCCAATCAAAACAAAGTCGTCATGCCAATAAAATTAACAAACAGAAAATAAGATAAATTAATACATTTTCAGAATTTTCATATGACTGAGGGATTCCTGTTGCCCAGTCACAGGTTTTTTGGAACTATGGAAGTGGCTGTCATGCCAGTACCCTTTAAAAAGGAAGGAGTGTGAGCACTGCAAAGCAATTAAGAACAGTGCTAAAATCTACTGAAATAAATGGAAATATTCTCATTATTTCAGACCAGGGTTTCAACTGCTGACAGTGGCAAAGCTTTTGTCTGACCCAAGCATCAGAATAGTCCTCTGGACTTCTAAAGAAATACTTGTATGTTTCAAATTAAGCCCATTTTTTTCACAATCTGGGGGACTTGTCCTGCTTAATTTCTGTCTACGTGATACTCACCTGTAGTGTCTGAAGAAAATAGTAGAGACATTGGTGACCATATATGTATTATTAATAGGAAGCACCCAACATTCGCTATTATGAAACACAGTCCAAACTGTCAGAAAGTAATATAAAAACTAAATAGAAAAGAAAGAAGTTAATACAAAGTTTTCACATCTCTTCCTGAAAATTGGGTTGAATCTGCACTAAGAGATGAAATGGTGCTTATAATTGCAGGTACATAAACAGAGAGAAAATTATTAGAGACTCTTGTAACAGCTCTTTGAAAAGGCTATATAAGAATTATACTACCCTGTCCTTCTAACAGCCTTCCTCTTGTTCATTTTTTCTAGTTTCTTCTGAAAATGTATTTTTGACTTAGTAAATGGTGGCCACGTAAATCTTCAAAAATGTTCTGGGGGATATCCTTTCTAAAGCCTGCACATAAAGGAAGAGAGTACCATCTACTAAAGGAAAAAGTAGTGCAGGGTAAATAATGATTACCTAATAGATTTAAAAAAACATGGTAGAAAGCTGCTCTTGGGCAGTGTAATGTTCATAGTGAGATACACTTGGGACAGGTGTTTTTTAATGTGGTCAGTAAAGATTTGGCAAGACAAATGCACAGTGAATTGATTTCACTTACAAAGTATGCAAACTAATCAATTAAAAACCATTGGAGAAATGAAGAAAACGTTGGATTTAAACACTCAGGAGTAATAAGCAACACCCACAACAAATGGTATTTTGTTGGATAAGGTAAAATGACAGCAACATTTGGGGCTGCTCAAGCCAAGCTAACAATTAAACCTCAGGCTCTGGCAGCTAAAGTGCTAAGCCTGCAGGCATCAGGGTGAAAGCATGGCCTGCCAGCCAAGCACAGAACTACAGAACTGCCTTGGGGTCAATTTAGTTTGGCTCTTGGTCTTCCTCTAAAGGAATGAACTGAACTACCATAAGTATTTGCCAGTCCAGCCACAGTGCTGTCTGTACATCCCTCCCACGTTCATGACTGATGCTGGTAAAAGCCTGGTATTACCAAAAATGTAATCATAGGGCATAGGTAGATTACCTGAATTTTAATTAGAAATTAATTAGGAACTGGGCAGTGTTTGGAGGGGTCCTGACTAATGGATCTCTTACATGATCTGGTCTTGCAAATCAGAGGTCTCCACAGAATTTGGCACACTTAAATATGGATATAGAACTGGATAAAAATGGGATATGACACTAGATCCTTGGTCTCTTTCCTTCCACAAACTTACTGATACAACTCACTCACCATTTTCTGTGGGGTTTTTTACAGGAAGTTTAATAAAAAATAAAGAACTTGCAATATTCTTGGAAGTTCTAATACAGTATTAACTGTTTTCCCTCTTTATTCTGTTTTGTTCCTTTTTGACTACTGCATCTCTACTTGGATCCAGTGTCTTCATTTTCCTGCTCCAGCTTTTCAGTGCTAGTTCCTATTGGAATCAATCACTTTTTGCAAAAGGAACTGCAAACAATTGAGCACTCTTCACTCTTCTGCTCAAAATCATGAGAATTTCTTCTTGCCACATTTTCCCTTTTTCAATGCCACCACGTGTGAAATTTTTCCTCATATGCATATGCTTCTTTATACATTTCTGATTGCAACCTGTCCAAACATTAATGCTGCAGTTGCCCTGACTACAGTATCCACTTCCTGAATCTTCTTGGCTTCCCATCTATTTCCTCACATTTTCTCCTTACAAATCTGACAACTTATTATAAGTCTTGTCTGCATTTCATTCTATCATATTCCCCTCTCTCTGTTTCAGCTTCCTTGCTTTTGCATGGCTGGTAGGTTTGTCACCCACTATACTCAGCTTTTGCCTACGATTGTGTGTGTTCTCCAGTTCTCCCCAGCTCAGTGAGTCTAGGAACCTTATACTAGATATTATACAGTGTCTTCAGTGCAGGTCTTCAACTTTCTTAGCCTCCACTTCTTTTGTTTATTTGCTTGTTTGCTTTGTTCAGTTGTTTGTTGATTTGTTGTATTTACTATTGAAAGTCCCTCCCTGAAAACTAGTGAGTCCTGATTTAGCAAAACTTTTACTGATTTGAGCAGAAGCAGTTAAAACTTGATGATGACTGAATGCTAAGTGATATCGTGATAGCCCATGGGGATCCTGGTGTAGGCTGAAAGCATGCTCCCAGCTTGACCTCTGAAGTGTGTCACTCCCAAGAAGTGGCTTTAAAGCTGGTCACCAGCTGGTACAAGTAGCTCTTGTGCGATGGGAGTCACGGGAGACAGGCTGGAGACGTGTTTCCACTGAGGTCTGATCCACCGGTTTGGGAACAGGTAGCAGCAGAGTCCCTACAGGTAGCAAACAGTTTGACAGGCCCCTCTGTGACTGGGGCAGCCCCTGGCCCAGGCCTGGCCACGGCAGGGGAGGTTTGCTGGGCGGGAGCGGAGGCCGGGCGGCGGTGACGCTCTCTGTTGTCCCTTGCAGTGCCCGGCGCCCCCGGCGCGCCCGCCAGCAGCCCGCCCTGCACCGTCAACATCCCCATCGCGCCCATCCACAGCTCGGCGCAGGCCATGTCGCCCACGCAGAGCATCGGCCTGGTGCAGTCGCTGCTCGCCAACCAGAACGTGCAGCTGGACGTGCTGGCAAACCCGCCGGCCGAGGCGGGCGGCGAGGGGCCGGGGCCCTTCCCGGGGGCTCCGGGCCGCTTTCCCGGCCCCGGGGCGGGGGCGCTGGCCGTGGGCGAGCTGGGCCGCCCGGCCCCGCCGCCGCTCGCCCCGCCGCCCCCGGCGCCCCCCGCCATCGCCCTGGCCGACCTGCGGGACCACGGCGACCGCGAGCATGAGCCGCCGCCCAAGGCCAAGGCCCCGCGGCCCGGGCCGCCGCTGGTGGAAGGGGACGCCGTCATCTTCGGGGCCGCTCAGGAGCTGCAGCTGAACAAGATGAACCCGCCGCCGCCCTACCCCGGCACCATCCCCGCCGTGCCCGCCACCCCCCTGCCGCCCCCGCCCGGGCCCCCGCAGCCGCCCCTCGATCTCTGCCTCAAGAAGGGCGAGTTCTCCCTCTACCCGGCGGGGCACTACCAGACGCCCCTGGGCTACGAGCGGATAACGACGTTCGACAGCAGCGGGAACGTGGAGGAGGTGTGCCGGCCTCGCACCAGGATGCTCTGTGCCCAGAGCACCTACACCCTGCCGGGCCCCGGCAGCTCCGCCACTTTGCGCATCACGGCTGCCGAGAAGAAGATGCAGCAGCCCTGTGCCAGCGCCACCTTGAACCGGCTCACGGTGCCGCGCTACTCCATCCCGGCTGGGGACCCGCCGCCCTACCCTGACATTGCCAGCCAGCTGTCCCAGGGCAGAAGCATGGCGCAGAGGCTGGACAGCAGTATCATTCATGCTACTCTGCGGAGGAACAGCAGAGAGGCAGCCCTGAAAATGGCTCAGCTGATGGAGGGTCAGAGAGCCACCTTGCAACTTCCCCCTAAGGCCAAGAGCAACATTGTGTCAGCACAGTACCAGCAGAGAGTGCCCACGGCCTTGTACACCTGCAGCCAATGCAGCAGTGGCGGCGCTGGCAGCAGCAGCAGTGCGAGCGCTGGTGGCGCAGGCAACATCACTAGTGCCAATGCTGGTAGCAGCACTTCCAGCATTGGTGCCATGAGACCAGATCTGAGCACAGGGAGTGGCTCCCAACACAGCTCTGTCATTGCTCACTCTGTCAGTACTTCGCCTCTGGCCTCCCAGTCCTCCTACAGCTTGCTGAGCCCGCCTGACAATTCCCGTGACCGAGCGGATTATATCAACTCCGCTTTCACGGAGGATGAGGCCCTTTCTCAGCACTGCCCAGTGGAGAAATCAGTACGGCACGTACCTGCGTCCTTGACAGAGGCTACCCTAAGTGTAAAACGGCCGCCACCGTACCAGTGGGATCCTATGGTGAGCGAAGAGATATGGGTTCCTCAGGAAAGGACATCTCAGAGCTCAGTGCCCAACCCTCTAAAACCTCCTCCGCTCATCATTGGTCAAGCTCAACATCTGGATATGTCTCGAGTGCCATTTGTTTCCCCCAAGTCTCCAACCAGTCCCACTGCCACTTTTCAGACGAGTTATGGGGTTGGAGTACCTTACCCAGGAAGCTACAGCGCCCCACCCCTTCAGGGAATGCAGGCCCCCTGCTCCCCCAAAGAAGCTCTGGCCCCAACACAGTTTGCACAGCAGGAGCCCACAGTTGTGCTTCAGCCAGGTTACTCATCCAACCTCCCCTACTGCCCTTTGCCACCCATGTACCCGGGAAGCAGCACTTGCTCTAGTTTACAGCTGCCACCGATCGCCTTGCACCCCTGGAGCTCCTACAGCGCCTGCCCACCCGTACAGAACCCCCAGGGCACGCTGCCCCCCAAGCCGCTCCTCGTGGTGGAGAAGCCGGTGATGTCTCCCCCACCAGCAGAGCTGCAGGGCCACGTGGGCACAGAGGTAATGGTGGAGACGGCAGACACTTTCCAGGAGGTGCTCTCCTTGACAGAAAGCCCTGTTCCCCAAAGGACAGACAAATTTGGCAAGAAGAGCCGGAAACGCCTGGACAGTCGAGCCGAGGAAGGAAATGTGCAGGCTATCACTGAGGGCAAGGTCAAAAAGGAGGCAAGGACACTGACTGACTTCAATTCACTGATAGCCAGCCCTCGGCTGGGGAGGGAGAAAAAGAAGGTCAAGAGCCAAAAAGATCAGCTGAAGTCCAAGAAACTAAACAAGACAAATGAGTTTCAGGACAGTTCAGAGAGTGAGCCGGAGCTTTTTATCAGCGGAGATGAACTGATGAACCAGAGCCAGGGCAGTAAAAAGGGTTGGAAAACTAAAAGGAGTTTGAGGACAGCCAGTGAGCTGGATGAATTCAAGTGCCGGAAGGCCAGCGAGAAGGAGGATGGGCGTCTGGGAAGCCAAGGCTTTGTGTATGTGATGGCCAACAAGCAGCCACTGTGGAACGAGGCAACGCAAGTCTACCAGCTGGACTTCGGAGGGCGGGTGACCCAGGAGTCGGCAAAAAACTTCCAGATTGAGCTGGAAGGACGACAGGTAGGAAGGGTTGGCACGTGCTTGCTGGAATGGGGGCCAGGATGTGGGAAAGCTATGCCAGGAATAAGCTGTCACTCATGCTGCAGAGTGCCTCTTGCTTGTGTCAGCTGTTCCATGAAAAAAAGCTTTGCCATATAGTTGATAAAAAACAACTGTCGAAGGTCTAAGTTCAGCATGTAGGGTGAAGTTCAGCTGTAAAGTAAATACACAAAATATGTTTGGTCTTATTGCAGTCAGACATGGGAACAAGGGCCTCCTTTAGTCTGGCTGGCTCTCACTGCTGAAGGTTTTGTAATAAACACAGTAGTTCTCTGCACTGGTAGCTGCACTTGCCATCAGTGGTGGTTGTGGATGGCAGCTAATTGGCAGCTAGCACTGCTCCCTTCTTGCCCTGCTCACATTGCCAGGCAGCACGTAGCTAAGGCAGTTAGCTTCCCTTCATGCCAAAATTTCCACTTGTGAACAGCTACTGGGCCCTTGGGGTTGACTCTTCATGCTAGAGGAGGGAGACACTGACCCACCCCAAAGCAAAGTGCTCCTGGGCTACTTCTGAACTGCCTGTGGATAGAAGGATCAGTGGCTATTTCAAAAAATCAAAGCATTTAATTTTGGCCTGGGAGTGGTATGTTACTACTACTACACTAAACCAGGCATGTAAATGGTGCTAATTAGCAGGATGCTAGACTGAGATTCAGGAGACTCATATTTATTTCCTTGTCCAGCTGTAAGTCACTTCTGGTTCACTAAAGATTCCTCTGATTTAAGTTGGGAGTTAGGTGTCTTAAGTATCCAACATGCATGACCAGTGGAAGTCTTTTGGTTTTGCTGGTATGAAAACAACAGCTCAAAGGCAGCGATCAGAGCCTTTCTTCTTCAGTTAAATGGCTGTGGATATGTGCCCATGGGCAGCTGTGCAAAGCCACCCAACCAAGGGGTTTTTTCTTGCCAGGGGTAACAAAGCCAGCCTTGATTTGCACAGTCAGTCCCCAGTCTAGCTCAAGGATCTTCTCTGTACAGCAAATAAAATCTGTATTTCCGATGAAGTGAATGAAAAAACAGTAATAATAGGCCAAACTTCAGGTATTCCCTGTGGAAGAGCAATGAACAACCTGACTGGTTTTGCTTTTTTTGCATTTCAAACAGCTCTCACTGCCCCTTTGCTAATACGTTCTTGCTGTTATTACATGCTAGTGAAGATATTTATGCAGAGGAAAACAGAACTGCAAAGAATGAACACCTTATCAGCTATGAAGTGCTAGAGTATGGAAATTGGTTATTCCCCTTCCCTGAAAGCTCCTTTCTTTGAAAACAAAATCTGTTTTTCTGTTGGGTTGATGGTAGGATATTTCCAAGGGAGAGACTGCTACTTTCCTGCAGGAAGCATGATGCTGGTGTACCCATATCTGCTGAAGTAATTGGTGACAAGCTACTTAAACCAATGCTCTATGCAGTCTAGCATATTTTATCAGTTTACTCTGTGGAGTGAAATATTGCAGTCAAATACTCTACACAGATGAAAAGTAGAGTGCTCTCACTGTTCTTTGGCATCATACCCCATCATGTCTGTAGCTCCAATCATATTACCTGAGAAAGGGGGGTGTTCCTACAAAGCAGAAAAAATTTGCTCTTATTCTCTTCTCTGTTTCCTTTTTGTTCATTTTTTTTGACCTTGTTCTCTTTTCCCTTCCTTTTCCTCTTCCCCTGCTTCCCAGGTGATGCAGTTTGGAAGAATTGATGGCAATGCTTACATTTTGGACTTTCAGTATCCATTTTCTGCAGTGCAAGCCTTTGCTGTTGCTCTGGCTAATGTGACTCAACGCCTCAAATGAAAAAGCAGAGACTGGAGAGAGAAAAATGTTAACCTTCTCATAAAGTCCAAATGGAAAATGTCAGGGCAGCCTGCTTTAGGTGTGCAGAGATGCCTGGGAGTTAAGAAGGCAGTAAAACTGGAAAAGTCTCTTGGTGCCCACCAGAAGGGCATTAACTCTAATCAGTCACGGGGTGGAGGGTGGGGGGCTGTTTTCTGTTTGTTTGTTTGTTTGTTAGCTTGTTTGTTTTCTGGTTTCTTTTTCTTTTCAAGCGTTGTGCTGGGTCTCAGAAGGAGCGAAGGGTTGAGAAGCGTTCAGTGTTACGTGGAGAAGTGTGGCTTTTGGCTTGTTGTGGTGGTTCTGCTGTGTGTGCTACAGTAGCTGATGTAAGCTCATGGGGGGATTAAAACAGACTGCTCTTCTTAGACCGCCTTATCTCATGCTATTCTTTTTAAAACAGGGAACGTGACTTTTTTCTGGTCCAGTTTGTACTTCTACTACTAAAACATCAGTCATAGCAGGAAAAAGTAAAAAAAGAAAAGAAGCTATAATACTTGAAGACATGTGTCTCTTCTCTGATACCTGCTATTAACTGAGCACCACAGTTTCCAAGGAGGCTTATGTAGGTAAACATTTAATTTATAAACAGTCATGTATTACTCAGAAGAGAAAAAATTGTTTCCAGTGGGTGTTTGTCATGATTTAGGAATGGTTTTCTCCAATTTAGTGTCTCCACCAAAACACTCCAAACCATGCACCACTTGCTCACTGCCCCCTCCCCTTTTCCCTTCCCTGAGCTGGATGGAGAGGAGAATTGGAGGCACAAAAGGTAAAGATCACAGGTAGAGAGAAGAACAATTTACTGCAAACAGCAGTGAAATAAGAAAACAAACAGTAACAGCAGCAATGTTAATAACAGAGTGCATGAGAGGTGAAGGATTCACTCATGTGTGTTCACCAAGGGGAGCCTCTGCCAATACCTGACTGTGCTGCCACACTATGGGACCCTTCCCAGGGCCCCAGAAAATGATTGGAGGTGGTATAGAATAATGTCTATAGATTCTAGCCATGCCCTCTCCTGGCTACTGCAAAAATTAACTCTGTCCTGGCTAGAACCAGGATTTAAAAACCTACTGCATCAAAGAAGTTGATGTCTGTTTGTTTTGTATGCTGTTAAGGGGGATAAACATCTTGCAGTAGGTGACAGAAGACAGAGGAGCAGTTACAAGCACTGCTTCTTTTGTTACTGGCATAAACATCTTTCAGTAGGTGAAAAAAAAACTGGAGAGGAAATAATAATGAGTGTGGCTTTTTTGTTCACATCGTTCAGCAGTATTCTGTAATTTGGCCTGTAGCTGGGAGAGGTACAGTGTGATCAGATGTACCTCCGAGGCCGTGCCTGTGCTTGCTCCTGATTTCAGTGTGTTTACACCATGTAAACAAAGCTTTTCCAGCAAATGAAAAGACCCAGTGCATTCAGTCCTCTTAGCAATCAGTATCAATCAAGTTCTACAGCAGTGCTTGAATTAGAAAGGAGACAGAAGTGTGTAGCAAGTCATTACAAGAAGAAATTTCATCAGGGAAGCAAATTCATTACAGGAAACAACATCATGGCTGGCTGGAGAACAAATGAGTTGAAAGAGAAAGGAAAAATTGGACAGAATCATGTCTTTTGGCACCCACCTTGTTACTTGCTCCAGCTAAGAGCAGGAAATCAGTGTCTACATGGAGTGTGATGGAGGAAAGCTTAATACCAGTAGTATGACTGTGCAGTTCTCTCTGGTGCACATGTGGACGTGTTGAGCATTTCAGAAGGTTGCTTGCACAGAAGTGTCCATGTGTTGTACACATGTTTACTTGTTTTTTCTCTTTCCTTGTCAGCATTTTGCTACAGAATATGTTTTGATATGGAAATAGTTTTGCCAGTAATGTACAAACCCCCAAACTATTCATATAATTATTTGGATATTAGATTACAAAACATCACAGCAGATTTTTGTAAAAATGGATCTTTTGAAGTTAAAAGATCACGGAGAAAGATATGCTGGTTGAAGTGTCAACAGCTGCTTTGTCTTTCATCCATGGTTTAGCTTCTTTACTTGAAAAAGCCCCTATAACTTAAGATGAATACATGTGATTTTCTCTCTTTGTTTTTCTTGAGTCCTAGTAGTAGGGCTGATGGGTGTTGCGTTTGATTTATTCTAGAGGAACATTTCACCTAAGACCCTGCTGTAGTAGAAATTGCCAATATGCAGTGAGCTGCTCTGCTGAGCTTTCCAGAGCTGTACAGCGTGGAGGAGCAATGCCAGTAGAGGAGTTTCAGGGAGTTGCCAGGGGAGGTGATGAGTTAGATTGGATAATGCCCCACAGGGTAGCTCCAGGAAAAACCACCTGTGAGATGGTGTCATTGGATGGGAGGAAGGAGAAGTAGGAAGGAAGGAGTGGGGCAGTAGATACCATGCCTGTATTATCCCAAAGCTTAGCAGCTTCTGCTTGTGTGTGGGAGTGGTCAGGTCAACATTATCCTTGGCATCTATCAGACTGGTGTTTTCTTTAATTAATTAATTTTGTTTTCTTTAATTGTCTGGGCCCACTTGTGTTCTTTTTCATGTGCTTGATTTGCTCAACAGTTTGAGTGCCTGTATGTTTAATGTGTGTGGAGCAGAGGAACCAAAATAGATTTGGTTCTGGTCCCTTGAAAATCAATGGAAATGTTTCACTTGTTGGTTTTTATAGAGGAAACACTAATAAGCCCTTTGTCTATATTGAGTTACATGCTGTAAAAACAGTAGGTTGAATTCTTAGTCCACTAATTCCAGTGCACAAGGAGGGAAATTGGCTGATGAGAGGCCTCACCTGCCCTAAGGTCTGTGCTAACCAGCTGTACCCTAATTAGTGTTTGACAGGCACACAGTGAGCACTGTAAGACAAGAAACATACCAGGGCTGGCTTGTTTGCTTGCTGAGGGAAGGGCCACTTAGTCATATGTCAGAAATAGTCAGCTGGAAGAGCATTATCAGCCAAAATTATTAGCACGTGGACACAATGTGAATGTTCTTTTCTGAAGAAAATCTAATCTAAATAAGGAGTTCTGCTTGCAATTTCTTAACCTTCCAGAGAATGGTATTCCTCTTCACTTTGTTTATTGCCAAATTTTTCCAGTTATCAGTAGTTTTGTTCTAATGGAGAACCAAGAATTGAAACCAGTAAAACAAGTAACAGAGTTAGTAGTTTGGTTTCATTGGTCCAGGTCATGATTGCATCCTTCTGATGGCACTCAAAAAGAGCCATGGCATAGAAGGAGCTCTGGTTTCTGCCTCAGCAAAGAACAAGGAATAATTGCCAAAAAATGGGGAAAATAAATGCTGTTTCCAACATCCTTTCCATTTACTTGTCAGAAAATTCTATAAGATAAGGTAGTCTTTTATCTTTTTGAAAATAATTTAGCTGAGTCTCTTTAATTAAGGATTTTAATATTTAGATAATCCCCAATTAGAGGGAGAAAATATTCTCAAATATATAGAATGTTAATGAAAGGAATGGTAAATACATAGAAATCTGAGTGTGCAACTGGATCCTAAATTATAAAAAGAACAAATTAAAGTAATTTTATTTTCGATTGAGATACAATATAGGAAACAAGTAAGAATATCCCCACTTAATCACTTATAATTGTGAAGACTGCTATTACATTCAGCCAAAAGATAGATGTTACATTTTCTATTTTGTTAGTTTTTCTGTAGGTAACTTAAGTACTTCTAGGAAGAATGTAGCAAAGTGTTCAGAAATATCTAGTTATTTTATACATGCAGTAATTTCCACTGAAAGGATGTAAAGGATGTTTTTTCCAAAGCTTATTTTTTTCAGTTGTGCAATAATTTTAACAGTCTAGGGAGTTTCTTTTGGGTTTTTTTGGGTTGGTTTTTTGTTTTGTTTTAGTTTGGGTTTGATTTTTCTGTAGGGAGTTTTGAGTAGTTTTTTGAAGATAATTTAATGCAGATTTCCTGTTAATGTCCAAAAAACAAATTATTTTTTTTGCATAAGGTAATGAGTGATTTAGGGATTATTTTTTTACTATGTATCAGTGAGTTATACACACTTATTTATGTTTAAAGAGCATCTTTGTAAGCAGTTGTTTGCTAGCAGTTATATTTTGCTGCAAGAAATTAAAAATGCTTATAGGAAGACCTGGTTTTGCTGGATAATATGCAAAAATTTCATAATGCAGGCAAAAATATTTTTGGCAGCTAAACACAATGAGTTTGCTACGGAGAGCTATGCAGACTACAGAGTCTAGATGAGTTCTTTGGGACATGCAGAAATCTGTCCTCTGTTTTCCTTCTTTATTTGTAACTATACTCTGGTTGGGAGTGGCTTAAAAAATAGAAGGCATGGTGGTTTGCTTTCTGTTGAGGTACAAGATAAGGTGAGTTATGTGATAAGAGAGGGTGTGATGGCACGGGCTGTTTGTAAGGAGGTCACTGTAGTTCAGTTGGGGTTGGTGATGGCACAATTCAATGCCAGGTGGAGGTACAGGCAAACTAGCCTGGAATCAGGTGAGGCACAAGGAATAGTGCAGCAGTTTCCTCTGAAGCATTTTCCTCTGTTCAGCCTAAAAGTGCTCCTCCTGCAGTTGGGCTCAGCTGCTTCCAGTACTGCCACAGTGCTTCTGGCAAGGTGCTGCACAGAGCTCATGGAGCTGTGCCCTGACGTTGCCTGCAGCAGCTTTGCCTCTTCAAGATGCTCCATAGGAGATCTGTTGGAGCAGGTGTTGCTCCACTCATCCTTCTAGGTCTGCTCCAAGAGCAGCATGAAGCTGCCATGGAGTTTGGCTGCAGCAGCTTTGGGCAGAGAGAGCCCTAATGCCAGCCAGCAGCTTTGTGTCCATCTGAAGTCAGAATCTGCTCTGCTGGAGTTGCAAAGGGATGAAACCAAAAACCTGATAATTTTGAAAAAATAATGGTGATATCCTTGAAATATTATCTCAAACAGAATCCAAAAATTGATATTTAAAGTCTGGCATAAATGGAGTGGCAACAGTAAGAATACACATTTCTGCATTCCTACTGTTTAAACAGTAAGAATACATGTTTCTGCAACATCCTGAGAAACTACGAGAAGGTGCAGGGTAAGAGAGGGGGAAAAAAAAGGAATTATCACATTAGCAATTTTGCACTCAGTTCCAGAGACTGCAGTATCATGTGCCACGGGCTGCCTGAATATCAGTAAATCTGCACACAGGTTAAGCTCAGTTACAAAAGTTTCCTGTGATGCGGCCACAGGTAAAACAGTGTTTTTATGAAGATGCATGAAGGTCTACAGGTGTCAGACAAGGATACCTAACTTTCCTGAAGCCTTCAGCCTAAACTTTCCATAGATCCAGGCTTTCCTTGAAGTGTCTTTTTAGTGTCCTCTCAGAAATTAC